ACGGCTCTTTTTAGTGAGCCAGATCATTTGGGTCAGTTAACCAAGAAGAGCCGGCTCATATTTCAGCTCCCAAATGGCTCTTAATTTTACCATTAATACATTTTCTAATTCAGCCAAATATAGCACTTTTTGGCTTATGATATGTACGTATGTGTACACATAGCTCTTAAATATATTAAATACATTCTTTGTATTGAAGTATTCACAAGTAAAAATAACATTTTCTAATATCAGGTAATTGCTGTAGCCAATTGTTTTCATTGCATTACAGACCCTTGTAACTCTCTGAAACCAACCAATGAATGCACTGACTTGCTTGTAGAGCCACCCTGCTACAAAGAAGATAGAAATCCCGTCATTCTTCCTTGTATAGCTGTTTTTATTTTTATTTATATATTTTTTCTTCTGAGGTCTGTGGAGGGAAAAAAGAAAGAAAAAATGGAAAAAGAAAACGGCTCACAGATGGGAGCCGGCTGCCATCATTCACGTTGAAGAGCTCTTTGAACCAGTACGTTCGTGACCGACACATCACTAGCCAGTATCAGCCAACAGGGTAAGAACTTAAAGCTAAAGCCAAGCTTGAGAGGGTACAAAGATACTCAACTGGATTCTGCTTGAGAAACTTTTAAGTACGTCTCATGATGTTTGGTATGTTTTGGGGGAAAGTTTTTCATCTGTAAAGGGGCTTGTATTAAGATAACTCACAAAATATGTCCTGAGTGGCTGCTTTTGAAAAATTCCTCCATTTTTGGCCAACAAACAGACTTGAATCATTCCATGTCGCTGTGTGTCACACCCCCACAGCTCCTGAACTTGACTCCCAGAGTTCGTCCAAGGCAACAGAGTAAGCCAATTTATTTCCTAGTGTGTGTCTGTCACTGTGAAGGTTATGAGTGTGTATTACCTGCCAGAAAATGAATCCGGGATGTGTGGCGAGAAAAGACCTTGTATTTGAATATAAACATTTCTGGTGGTGCTCTGGGGTTGGGGTACAGCAGCAGTGGGCATTGAGCTGGTAATTCTTCACCCTGTGATCAAAGACCCAGTCCTCAGCAAGCCTTCCTACCAACCCCCTTACCGTTCCCCTTCATTTCCCATCCGTCCCCTCTCCTCACTGCTCCAATCAGAGCCTAAAGCAACCAGGCGTGAGTTATAACCCTCTGTGACTGTTGCATATTATCCATGATTTTTTGCAGGTCTTACTAGTCCCTCCCGACTGGTAACCCCTCACTGCGCTGACTTTTACCCCTGTAAAGCTCACCTCCTCCCCCTCACACTCAATCTCCATGCCTCAGCTGCATCTAGACTTAAACAATCTGTCTCACTCTTGGCCTTTCTGAAAACCTTGAGGCAGCTTCAGTTCTCCTAACTCTCACCACCATCCCCTGCATTTAGTCTCTCGAACAGTTTCGAACTCTGCGTGCACTTTGTCGTGCCCTTAATGAAACCTCCCTCAAAGCCCATGACTTTCTGTTGAGATTTTTCATGCTCCCTTTCCTCGTTTTATACTGTCAAATACACTTGTTCACTAAACTTCTGAATCCTACCAGCTCTTCCTTCACTGCTGCTCAAACTTTCCTTTGTTCTTAATGGCTGTCTGCTGCGCTTTCTATTTTATTTTTCTCTTCTGTTGCTCAAATGTGTCACTCACTTGCTGGCTCTGTGCATATTTGTGCTCATAGTCATACGGCGCTGCTGTTAGTTTCTCAAGGTTACTCTCAATGTCACCCTTTGACAAATCTGGGTCTTTTTACCTCTCACAAATATAGCCGGGAGCAGAGAGACGTCTGATGAAATACGCAGAATCGGGCCAAGGCATGGCAGGGGGGCTGGGAATGAGTGTCCCATTTTGGCCCATTAAAAAACACCTGTGACAGTTGGTGGTCCTCTAAACGAAGGCAGCCTGCCGGTGTGAGCAGTGGGCCAAACCAAGATGATTGCTATGAAACAGGCCAAGCCTGTTGGGGACGCTGGTGCCTCTTTTCATCTTGGCCTCGCTCCATCATATGACCTTCTGGCCTTCATGCTCTCGTCTGTCCTTCTGTTCTCCTTTCTCTTGCACAGTCCTTGTGATATTACCCTTCTTTGTCCTCTTCAATATTCAGTCAGATTTGATCAGCACAGTTGGTCTGATGCATGTGTGCCCAGATTTATGCACTATTGACAAAGTCCAGTTCTTTAATTTTATTTAATCCAAAACCAATTTAAAGAGATTCTTGGACAGCCTAAGCTGTTTGTTTAATGTGGACATCCTTTTTGAGAGATGACCCTGGCACCAGTAGAGACAGGCAGAGAAATGACATTGACCAACTAAAAATAATGAGCATGGACTCAAGACAAGAGCTGTATTTAGACAAAGCATAACTTACATTATTAGTACAGTTGTGAGACAAGATTTTTAAAAGATTAGGGATTTATCCCTTGTGTTTATGAGCTGCTTCATAGAGCTAGTTTTTTTTTTTTTTTTCAGAATAAAGTCCTCATACAAAATTAACGAATGATTTAACTTGAAGTGGCTTTTCAAAATGATCATAAAACAACCAGGGAACAGATAGTTGTCCCCAAATTCCATTATTCTGATTGAAAATAGGCCCTTTGTTTCCCATCGTTAAGTTTGTGGTTCTTGATCTTATTCACAAACAATTTCACTTTGTGTCTGAGAACAGTTCAGCATGTGGACTGCAGGTTCTGGGACTGAACCACTAACCTTTCCTTTGAGAAATAATTGACTCTAAATTTGAGCCACAGCTGTCTCCAATATCATAATACCTTCTAGTGCATGATAGTAATACACAACGGATCATTTCCATGACGTAAAAATCATCATAATAATCATTTTGCACTGCAGATGCGGTACTTCTTTTGCCTTAGCGCCTCAGTCTGATTGCATTTCCATGAAGTAATGATCATAACTGTTCTTCCTTGAGCTGTGAAACTCTCCCCCACAAACAAGTGGCTATAGATTGGCTTTTTGGTTGAGGTTTGCATGTGGAGACGTAGACCCCGCTGTGTATTGCTATCATGCGGTCATTACTAAATTTGGAATAACTAGAGAAGCAAGCAGTTGGCAAAATTCATCTCTCCAGGGGGTGTATGACTCTGTGGTACAGTGTGTTTGAGCTTATATAGCAGTCATAATGCTTTCACATCCGAAGTCCAGATACATTTTTCAGAATCTGGTCCAGATTTGCCCTTTCAAATATTTAGCACAGTAGCAATATTGCAATATTGTCTAGATTCCATTTGATACACTCTGTTTGGTTGAAAGCAAGATTTGCTGCTGGGTAAAGCATGCAAAGACAAGGACATAAAAAGAAGTTGATGTCAATTTTATCCACCATAAACAGGTGAGAAAGAAGACAAACAAAGCAGCCAAACTCAGTGCAACAAAGTTGTCAAGACACCACCTTGCTTACTGCAAATGATACGGACAATTACCTGATCCATTAACACACAGGCCTGAGCAGAAGCTGCACAGACATAATACTCAGGTGCTGGCAAGCATGGTTCGAAAGGTTCGAACATTTGCATTTTCACAGCCTCACTAAGTAATGTCCGGTCCTATTTAGTTCAGTGCAGTAATCTGCAGAAACACTTTGGTTATTGCACAACTTCTCTCTATTTTTATTTCAAAGGAGGCTAATGTGATAACTTTACAACAATTTCTCTGCTGATAAACTGAAGTATGTCTTTGGAGTGAAATGTTTGAATAGTTAGGCTGTTCCTCATGCATTTATTCATCCTTCGTAATGATGTATGTTGACATAAGTGATCTCTCATGTGCGTAGCCACCTCCACTGAGAGGACTCTCTCTACTAAGGGGACCCAAGGTGACATTATTTCTCATGCGCTCCATTTTGTTTGAAGTGGTCATCCTGTTTTATATTTTGTCTTTGTTGAGCACATGAATACACAACATGAATGAATGAAAGAATGCTTTTATTTCGGTTTAAAAACCAAAAATAAAGTCATATATTTTTACAAAAGAACCCATCAGACAGAAACCGAAAAAGGAATAGGCTGAAGCCCCAAGGCTTATTTTTGCATATCCTGTACCATCATAGGAATAATTCACAATAAAACATCAGTACTAGAACAATCCTCTAGGCTCACCGGGGTATGTGCCTAGGCCCACAGAACCATCAGCCCTGTTCGATACATCACCACCCAAACTGAGCGAGGTCACACAGGTGATCCAGCGAGCGAGATCTGCATCAGCACCAGGGCCAAACGGAATACCGTACAAGCTTTATAAGAACTGCCCTAGCGTGCTGAAGCTCCTGTGGACCCTGATGAGAATCGCCTGGATGAAGCAGAGCATACCATCCGAGTGGCAAAGGGCAGTGGCTGTCTCCATCCCAAAACAACAGAACGCCAAGACCATCGAGCAGTTCAGGAGCATAGCCCTACTAAATGTGGAGGGAAAGATATTCTTCTCTGTGATGGCAAGAAGAATGACCACCTATCTGATGGAAAACAGCTTCATCGATACCAGTTGCCAGAAAGCCGGAGTACCAGGGTTCCCTGGCTGCGTGGAGCATGCCTCAATGATCTGGGAACAGATTCAGACCACCAAGAGGGAGAAGAAAGATCTGCATGCCATTTGGCTGGCCCTAGCCAATGCCTACGGGTCAGTGCCACACCAGCTGATAGCATACGCCCTTAACTTCTTCTACATTCCAGACAACATCAAGAACATGATCATGAAGTACTTCCAGGACCTGCACATGTTCTTTGCACTGAAGAAGTTCAACACTGGTTGGCAACAACTGGAAGTAGGGATTGCAATGGGATGCTCCATCTCCCCCATCCTCTTCGTGGCAGCATTTGAGGTCATCCTGATCGGGGCAAGGCAAGTGGTGGGTGGCGCCCGTCTGCCTGCAGGTCAGAGGCTCCCTCCCCTAAGGAGCTATATGGACGACATCACGTGCCTGCTACGAACTGCGCCATGCACATCCAGGCTGCTGAAGAGGCTGGACGAACTGATCTCCTGGGCAAGGATGAAGTTTAAGCCACAGAAGTCAAGGAGCCTCTCGCTGCGGAAAGGGGAGAGGAATGACAGAGTCACCTTCACCATCGGCGGAGAAGTCATCCCCCTCATCGCGGACCAGCCCATCCGAAGCCTGGGTAGACTCTATACATCTGGTCTCTCAGACAAGGACATGGGGAAAACCATCCTTCAGCAGCTTTCAGAAGGCCTGTCAAAAATTGACTCAAGCCAGCTACCTGGAAAGCACAAGGTGTGGTGCTATCACTTCACCCTGTACCCGAGAGTGATGTGGCCTCTGAAACTGTGCGAAGTCACCTCATCAGCCGTAAGCCGGATGGAGGCAAAAGCCAACTCCTTCATCCGCAAGTGGCTCGGACTGCCGCGATGTTTCTCTGCAGCTGGCCTATATGGTCGGAACTCACTCCAACTACCGCTGAAATCCATCACGCTGGGATACAGGCAGGAGAAGGCGAGGTTGGTGATGGAACTAAGGGACTCCTCCGACAGGACAGTGGCAGAAGCAAATGCCAGAGTTGCAACAGGAAGGAAATGGAAGGCTGTGGATGAGGTCCAGAAGGTGATGGGCAGGCTGCAACACCAGGAAGTTGTGGGCAGGGTCCAGACAGGGCGGGCAGGCCTTGGATGGACAGACCCTCCCATTCTGTGGTCCAAGGCAAACAGAAAGGAGAGAAAGGACCTTGTTGTTGCTGAGGTCACCAGAGTGGAACAGGAGGAGCTCAGAGTGAAATCTGTGGCACAGGGGCAGCAGGGGCGCTGGACGAACTGGGAGGGTGTCACGAACCGAGCAATGAACTGGGCAGACTTCTGGAAAGTGCCACAAGCTCGACTCAGTTTCCTCATCAGAGCGACCTATGACACACTACCTAGCCCCCAAAATCTCCATCAGTGGCTTGGAACAGAGCAATCCTGCGACCTCTGTGGGACCATCAATGCCTCCCTCCAGCACGTCCTGTCAGGATGCAAAACAGCTCTGACACAGGGTCGGTTCACATGGCGGCATGACCAAGTTCTCAGGAAATTGGCAGAGGTGCTGGAGAGAAGTCGCCAGGAGGCCAACAAGCTCAGTCCATCAATGAAAGAACACAGGATCCACTTCCTTAGACAGGGGGAACCTGCAGAACACTCCAGCAAGAGACCACCACCCACCAAGCTGCTAGCACCAGGGGCGGAGTGGAAGATGGAGGTGGATCTGGGTAGACGGCTCCAGTTCCCACAGGAGATCTGCACCACCACCCTAAGACCAGATGTGGTGCTGTGGTCTGCAGCCACAAAGTCAGTCCTGCTGATCGAGCTGACAGTGCCATGGGAGGAGGGACTGGAAGCTGCCTACGAAAGAAAGATGGCAAAGTATGCTGACCTGGTTGCGGAGTGCAGGGAAAGTGGGTGGAAAGCGAGGACATACCCAGTGGAGGTGGGATCAAGAGGATTCCTTGGCAGCTCCACGTCTCGCCTACTCAAGGACGTGGGGCTACGGGGAGCCAGATTGAGTAAAGCCACAAAAGAACTCTCAGAGGAAGCAGAGAAGGCAAGCCACTGGCTCTGGTTGAGACGACAAGACAAGTCTTGGGGGGGGGACATCAAGCTAAGTTTGGCTGCAGGGGGTGTCAGGGAGACGTCCCTGTACACTGCCCCGCCACCAGGAGATGTTCTGGGTAAGGGGCGAAACATCCGTGAACGGTGGTCCCCAGCTGAAGACCCTGCAGCGAAACCTAGCTCCCTTTCTTTGGTACGCGGTCAGGTTTAGACCTGGCTCAGGGAAGAGGACGCCCCTGCCACGCACAGTCCACCATCGGCACCGTTGGAGGTGCGACAGCCCTAAGGGTTAGCAGGAAGACCATCCTTCTGTATGAAATAATTATCATTACAAAACACATATCTTAAACTGAAAAATCAAATTCCATCAGATTTCATTGTAACCTTTGATAATTTTAAATTTTAAAGTCTTCTTGAAAACAAACATAGAATTACACATCTTTATTTCATCGTTTAGTCCATTCCATAATTTTGCACCCCAAACTGACAGTGACACACATCTGTACTTGGGATTAGTTCTGACTTTGTAAGTTTCAAACATTAGCAGCACCCTTAACTTATAAATCCCCTGCCTTAGCTCAAACATTTTTTTAATACAAACAGGAATTGTCTTATTTACCACTCGAAACATAATTTCTAATGTTTTTAAATATACAATGTCCAGAAATTTTATTGTTCGTGATCTTAAAAAAAACTGATTTGTAGAATCACAGTATCCAACTTCATTTATTATCCTAATAGCTCTATCATATCATATTAACATTTTAAATATAAAATAAAGCCCCAAGAAAAAAATCATATTCACATAAGACAAAAAATATGTACTTCCTGGTGTAATCGCTTCAAATTTGATAGTCTTCGAATGAACTTTGAACGTCAAGAAAGAAACGTACTCCTGATATATTTGCTTTTATTTTTAAAGGCTTCAAACAACTTTTGGTCCTCTGAGTGGAGGCCTGCAGCTAGGACTGTTTTGGAAATTTCAGGTCGCATTGACCTCGTATCTGTAACTACTGACATTTCTACTGCATGCATCCTGAACCCCACTGTCTCTGAATACAGCCCGGATTAGGAAAGTCCCAGCCTGACACACAGCCACTAGTATATTTGCTCTCTGTCATCAAACCTCATTTAAAGTCAATTGACAATAATTTGACCAGTTAGCGTGATGTATGAGAGTGTGCCAGCAACAATTTTGTTTATACTTACTCCAAAGATGTGGACAAAAAGTGAGCATCTAACCAACGTCTGGTAATCAGGTATAAGTGAGAGAAGATTGCCTGTTGTTTAGCTCGACTTGACCTCGTTCAGTGCTGTTATTTAGAAATGCCACTGCCTGTTGTTTAGAGATCAGGTGTGATAATGAACCAGTGTGGCCTGCAGAGTTGGTTCATTTCAAAAAAGAGAAGCCTCATTCAGGCTTTCTCAATTTTGAACTAATTTCAGTCATTATCTGTTTAAAACTACCACAGGATGGTTTCCATTTATGAGCAGTTTGTTCCTCATGTTCCCTGCTAAAGACTTCCTAATGTAAATCACTGCATTAAAATAGATAAATTTTCATGCCTTTCATTGTGTTATAATGAGGGTCCATTATTACTTTTGCTTGGTGACTTTTAATTAACATTTCCCATTAAGTTGCACAGCAATATAAGCCACCAGCTATTTACATTAACAGAAACAGCCCGGGGATCGGTCCTGCTTTATAAAAGTCACATGTCGAAATGATCCATTATCCAATGTTATGCTTGTGCTGAATGTGTGTAATTTCTTCTCACTGTTGTTTTTCTTTCTTTCTTTTTTTAATTTTTTTTTACAAAAACCTATTCCAATCTGTTAATCATTTAGTCTGGCTTAATTAAGAAAGTGATTGTTGATGCTTCAGGCCTTTCTCTCTCAAACCGTTATTGGGCCTCTGCCTGTGAAATCCCAAATCAATACCTGTTTCTCATTTGATTCTCAGCTTGGGCCTTATAGATTGACACACACACACACACACACACACACACAGGCACGCACCCACACCCACAGCTCTATCCCCTATGACTCAGTTGTTGATGCCTATCTGCTGTCCCTGCAGCTGCACCACCAGGACAGAAATCAGCTTTACCCCCTTGTGTCAATGGAACAAAAACATTGATCGTAAATCTGATAATCATTAGTTTTATGAAGGGAACGCAATGTTTTGCCACAATCTTCAAGTCTGCAAAACATAACCTGTATTTGCATGTATTTCACAGGACTGGTCGCAACAGCATGCAAAAGAGTGTGAGATTACGTGTAGGAAAATGAGTGTTACTTACCATTCAAGACTGGAATCAACTTAATGATCCAGCAGAAATATTATCTGAAATCATTAATAAATTGTCCCCTGATGTGTCATCTCCCCGAGTATTCTCTCTGTAACTTTCAGACTCACGCAGACCCCATTCACAAACAAAGATGTCCTTCATATGAGCTCAGTGGTTATTAAATGCAAGATGAATGTCAAGAGACTCACACTAGCAAGTGTGACTGCCGCTGCCGGTCACTGAAGGGCCTTGGCATTTCACAGCTTCCTCGAAGGCAGTCTAACACGACGAGGACACATCATCCTGATGTTGTCATGAGTTTTAATACTGCTCTCTCGCTTTCATTCTACTTGTAACATAAAGTGATACAGCAGCGCTTTCACTGACACTAAGCTGTCCTTTTGCAGCATTTAAGATATGCTTTATTTACTTTCTGTAATACCCCACACTTTTAATTCAATTCAAGATAAAATATTTTGAAAATAGTTGTTCAAATACATTTTTTTCTTATTTCTTTCCATTGGGCATGTTGGCAGCAATTTTTTCCTGGCATTATGTTAAGGTGACCAGATTTCTGTACTGAAATCTGGGGACATCTGGAGCAGGGGCTGCGTGATCACAGACAACATCTCGGTACTACGTAGTGTTCAGGACTGCGCCGACATGCTTACTTGTGCTTCCTTCCTACTCAGCTATCTTAATAACCATTGTTCTAGTCTACACTACATGTAACATTTTTGTTCTCATTCAAGAAACGCTTAAATCAGGAACATTTCCGGGGACAGCTTTGGTCAGGGACAGGTCATCCAATATGGGGACTGTCCCTGGAAATCAGGGATGTCTGGTCGCCTTACATTATGTCCAAGCAGGTTAGCTTAGATGCTAATATGTTTGCCAAACTGTATTTTCCAAACATTTCAGGCAACAGGAGACAACAGCCACATGAGCATTGAGCTACTATTACTGTTAGCCAGGGCTGGAGTATGGATCATTTCTAACCCAGGAGCTTCAGTGCTGTGACCAGCCCACTTTAGATCACAGTTTTTTACTGGAGCTACAAAGTATTAATCTAGCTTGATGTCTTTAGATCAGCACTATTTTGCAAAACCTAGACATTTATAGTGAAATTAATCAAAAGTCAAATTTTGATGTCAGGCTCTTCCAAGTTCAACATAAAAAAAACATGATTGAAACCAAAAAAGTTTTATATAGGGTACATAGTTATGTTTCTTTCATCATGTTACCTTAAACTTTAATTGGACCTTTCATATTTATTGTCACACTATTTCACATTCAATGACCGAAAAAATTAAAAGGCCATTTGTAGCATCTCTAGTCTGTGGGAGCCCATTTTTCCCACTTACAAAAACTGTTAAAACTTGACTTTATTTAAACACCATGTCGTAATCATGAAATGAATTATTGAATAGTGTGTCATAAATATGAAATAAAATCTCTATTTTTAATCTTATAATCATGATTTACAACTGGATTTTCTTTTAATCAATAGGAAGTTTAACAGTTTTACAAGTCCTTCCTCCTTAAAGAGAATTTCCTGTTTTTCAACCATCACTATGTCTAGCCAGTTTTATCCAGTACTAAATAATTTTATTATACTGGGCTCTTTTTTTCATATAGGTCTACACTGAGGTCTTAATAATGTTTACATTGACTAAAGTTTGCCTGCCTTTTCTTGAGTAATGGGCCTGTTTTTTTTTGTGTGTGTGTGCTTGGTAATAGCTTTTCCTCAATCTCACTTTCAACAGCAAACTGATTGAGAGGTCACTGGGACTACATGGCAATGTTTCAAATCTCGTTCTACTAATATTATTAGCAAAAAAAAAAGTACATGCAGGAGTCTAAGAAACACCACATAAATTATTTGCTTTATTCATGAATAATGGTTTATATGCTGGTTGTATGCTGTGTTTTGTGATGCGCTTCTGGTATCTGAAATTTGCAGTGTTAGTGCGCCTGTGTCATTTCCCCCTGGCTTGTTTACAGAAAGCAGAAAATTTATCGACTGTGGTGCAGTTAGATATGTCAGCTTTTAATGCTTTTCTTTTTTTTTTTTCATCTGGCTCTTTCAGTGCCACCTTTACTGTTTATAATAGGTCTATTTGTTGCATCACCTCTTGACTTTCCCCGGATAGAGGGATCATTTGATGTTGAGGAACAAATGTAATAATACAACTAATACTGAGCTCATATTTCCAGTCAGACATGAACCTCCCTGATCAAGCCTAGTGTTTGGCTGTAAGGGACCATTACTGTCTACAGTGATGTATTCATGCACATCCAGTGCAGCCAGCATGGTCTACTCTACTATAAACCAGCCCTATGGCCCTACAACCACCCTGCCTCAATGGGAATTTCCTTGGCTCTCTTCCATTAAGCCACACTAGGCCTTCTGCAAACCCAGAGACATGCTAGAGAGAGGAAGCCTACTTGTGCACATTACTTTGAAAAAATTGGATTTTTCAACCCATGTTAGCCAGTCATTGTTTCTAGACAAATAATAAGCAGATGTAAATATGATCATATTTTACATGTTTTCTTTCAGTTGCTCATTAATTAAGGAGAGAAAATCAGATTAGATTCTCTCACTTTACATGAAAAACTGCCTGTAATCCACCAACGAAAGGCGTGAACACAGTGAATTTGAATATCTCTGCTGATTTTTTCTCGTCTCTGTCACCTCACACCATCTTTCGCACCTTCCCCACTTCTTGCTTCCTTCATTCCTCTTCCGATACTTTTCGTGCCACCAGCCTCCTCGCTCAGTCTCCTTCCCTTTTCCTCTGCAGTGCTGTTTTCCCTCTTCTCACTCACACGCACACACACACACACACCCACATGGACTCTTTTTGTGTCACTCTTGTTATACATTCCCTTACCTCTTGCTATATCTCAGTTTGAATCTCCCTTTCTCTCAGTGCTGTCACTTACCCTTAGGCAAAGTCATCCCGAGTTGTTATGCCCTTCTCTCTCTAAACCCCCTC